GGGGCCGGGGCAGGGAGCGGGAGTGGCCCCGCACTGCCAGCCTATGGGGGGAGCCGTAAGCGGGCGCCATTTGCAAGGCGAGACGGGCCGAGCGGGGCGAGCTGCGCAGCAGGCAGAGCTGCTGGTGTAGTGCCTGCTCCAGGCTCAGGGGCACGGGTGGCGAGAGCTCTGCCCGAGAGGGAGCTGCTGGGGTGGGGGGCTTCGTGCGGGCAACACGCTGGCCCCAGCACACATCACGCCCAGCTTCAGCAGCCACTGTGTTTACATCTGCTCTGCCCTGCCAGTAATGCTCTGACTGAACTTAGCGCACTCAGTCTCGAAGACCTGCACTGCAAGCCCACAACATGGAGAAATAAAGAATAAATTGGGGTAAGAGCGGTAAGTAGAGTGGTAAGACCTGCCGCCCAGAAAGCTTGTGTTGTCTCCATCCATGGAGATACTCACACCCTGAGCGACCTGCTGCTGGGTGAGCTGCTTGAGCTGGGGTGGGCAAGACGCCCTTCATCGGTCCCCTCCAGCCGCCACGGTTCTGCAGTTCTGTACGGTCCTATGATTCTGTATGGTAAATAAACCAACAGCCAGCTAAACACAATGTAAGGATGGAGAAACAACTGAAAAAGAAACAGTCCCTCCTTAAACATTTTTCTTCCTAAGAGTTTCATACTTACCAAATGTCCTAACCATCGTTTCTCAGATTCTTATTAATGTTACCAGATCCCTTTAATGTACAGTATTCAATGTATAAGCACTACTGGTTATCGATTCCGGATAAAATTTAATTGCAAGTCCTGTAACATTACAGGTAAGCTGGTCTAACGCTGCAATTATCCACATTTTTAGAAGCAGATAACAAACCAAGCCAGAAGTTCAATGCCTATCCCCTGAATATCATGGCTGCTAAATGCCAGTACCCTCCTAAAGTTTCAGTTCCTGAAAAGAATGACTTGAATGGCAAACATCCTCTGCAGGTCCTCAAGCCCCTGTTACGTCCTGTTGAGAATTACTTGCTTTCCATCCTTTAATCAGCCTTAATCTTGTAACTTTTTTCTCAGCTTTTGTCCTGAATTTCCAGAGTAATAAATATTGGTATCAAATTAACATAAGTCCTTCCTATTAGATTTCCTTTTATAATCTACCTACTAGATTCAGGTAGTAAAGTTGCTTAAATTTAGTATTACACTGATGCTATGATTTACCCACCATTATCTACACTTTTTTTCCCCAAAACTGCTGCTTAAAAAAAAAAAAAACAAACAGATTTCCCTAGTAAATAGGATCTACATGTTTAACTGGAGATGTATGATAGGCAGATCATTAGATGCCACCTCTTCAGTACGTTGTCACACTGTTCTGCCTCAACTAGAGATCTGATCAGGGATGATGGGGTGTAGTCCTGAAAGCCAAACTTCTAAAATAAACAAACATGGATAACTGTGTGCATGTATACAAAAGAAGCAGGAAAGGGGGGGGGGGGGGGATTTGTTGGGCGCAAACATTGGGGGGGGGGGGGGGGGAATCTAGTTGGTGCACTACCTTACCCCTTACTTGCTTTACGGTGCAGTTTTGGATGAGAGAAAACAAATAAAAACCCTCACTCATCTATTAACTACTAGCTAACCAGTTTCCTCATTCTATCACAATTCATGTGACTCTAAATACATAAGAGCTCATACTTTGCCTCAGTAAAGATACTATAATGCATGAAAACTGCTAAGAAATCAAGCTTCAGCAGCTCTACCATTCTGTACAGCAATTAACAAATACAAAAAAGCCTCAGTGACTTCTAGCTTAAATCCTCCTATTCAATGGTATGAACGTACCTTACAAAGAAGCTGACAAAGAAAATATACCAAACCTGTTTGCTCTTCCCATACAGATGCATAGAAAATAAAACTATCTTGATTACTGGTAATTACTCTCTAATTCAAGTGCACATTAGCCATTCCATTAATCTCATCATTGACTGGAAAAAAAATGAAGTCAAACACTTGACATCCGGAAGATCTGGAGAAGCTGATCATCTTCTAGTTCCATTTCAGATAAAATGGCCAATTATTACCTTTGGGACAACACTGAAGAGGAACTAACAACACTAATGAGAACCAGTATGCATAAAAAAATTACTTAATGGAAACAGGAAGCCAGAAACAAAGAGCTTGGACATTAAGCAGCTAGAGAGAAGAAAACAGTAAAAACTAATTGTTCAAGTTTTCTTGTGACCTGGCTTTTTAGTTTGTTCATGCTACCTTGCAAAGTAACATTATGAAGAAATCTACAGATGCTGTAACTGATGATACTGTGAGGCGCAGGTGAGCATCACAGGCGCACCTGTAGAGCTATTATTGCTAGCACCAGAATGCCAAAGCCTATTAACAGGTGTCCCCTTTCCAAACCAACCAACCCCAAAGTCCCCCCGCCCCCAACTATTTGGGGCTGTTCATGCATAACTCTGTACAAAAAATTAATTTATTTCACTAAGAGGAAAATACAGAACACTTAGGATAAAGATTTAATATTACTTCTTCAGAAGTGTGTCTTCACGGTGAATTCAGAAGTCTACAGGACAGCTAAAAATACTGACTGCGGCCCTTCAGTAGGATGGAGAAAAAGCAAACACTCTGTATCATCAACTAAATATTGACTTGATTGTAAAACAAATGCTGTAGAAGAAAATGTGGGGGTTTTCTCCCCAGAAGTTGGTATATGTTTAACACTTCAGGCCAGAAAGAAGTACAGTTCAAAGCTGAACTGCTGTAATTGTTTTGGAGTTGAAGTTGTCACTGTGATGTTAGTCCTTTTCCTCCCACTGCAACAGTCTCTAGTCCCAGTACGTCAGGACTTTTGTTTACTAGCTCCTTCTCTTGCTAGTCTATCAGCTTCTTCATTTCCTTGGAAGCCAGCGTGACCAGGAATATGCATCTGTTAGGACAAAAGTATAGGAGCATTATAGATATGCAAGAAATGAAGGAAAAAGTACATCACGCAACACCCTTTCATTCACAGTACAGCAGCACCTCCTTAGAGGCCCTCTCCTCACATTTAGTCCTTACGTGTTCTTCCCAGGAACGTTCATAGTCTCCCTTCCTCTAGGGAAGTCTTGCCAAGTCGTGAAAATCATCTTTATGGGAAGTAGTGAACTGGATAAGGACCACCTAACCTAGCCTTTAACGCAGACAACAGCTCCAACTCAAAATTCCCACTTTCAGAGGACAGAGAAAAACCTACCTGTATTGAATGCTTAAACCAAGTTAATCTTTTCAGAGAAAGCCAGAGACCTTTATGCCACTAACAACCTTGGTGGTTACAGCACCCACTTAGGATACAGAAATAGGGTATGTCAGTTTTCAGATGTCTTAACTGTCCATGCTTCAATTAGGAACTGGAAACACTTTCAACCCTAAGCCCATCCTTGTCAGAAGTAATGGTAGAGGAGTGTGGGGGTAGAAGGAGACGAAGAAAATCAAGCTTGCCATTTGACAAGATCCAAGAAGGGACAAGCATGAAGCCTGTGCACGATGGTATTCGGTTTACATGGCAAGATTGTGGTACTGGGTTGGGGGCTGCAGGGGTGGCCTCTGTGAGAAGACACCAGAGGCTGCCCTGGCATCAGAGTGCCAGTTCCAGCTGGCTCCAAAATGAACCCACTGCAGGATACAGGAGCCACCAACTTTGCTGATGGGCTCAGCTCTGTGATAACATATTTAAGAAAGGGTAAAAACGCTGCACAGCAGCCAGAGAGAGGAGTGAGAACATGCGAGAGGAATGACTCTGCAGAGACCAACGTCAGTGAAGAAGGAGGGGGAGGAGGTGCTCCAGGCACCGCAGCAGAGATTCCCCTGCAGCCCCTGGTGCAGACCATGGTGAGGCAGCTGTGCCCCTGCAGCCCATGGAGATCCACGGGAGAGCAGATATCCACCTGCAGCCCGGGGAAGACCCCACGCCTGAGCAGGTGGATTACCGTAATAAAGCATATGCATACATTGCTCCTCCTGAAATAAAAACCTTCCCAAGTTTAAGAGATTCAGGTGTAAAAAGCATGCATAAAGCAACAATTTTTTTTTTTTATTATTATTATATAAAATACTCTAAGGACAGCTGAACTTTGGTCTTAGTTTTAAATTTTTACACTTTCTTCTCCTCAATAAACAGGAATAGTTATATAAAATCTAGTCAGCCTTTAAACTGGAGTCACAGACTCTGCAACACAGAACAACATGAATGGAAAGGTATCTGCAATAGATTTCCCATCAAAGAAGTGCATGTTAAAGATATATGTCATCCTGTTTTCCACAAAGCAAAGACAGAAGCCCAATAAATATGCCATTAGCAGCCACGAAGTCAGTGGTACAGAGATTTACTTCTGGAATCAGGAGTCTTAGAGTAAAATTTAGAAGGAGGGGAGGGAAGATATCACCCTGCAATGTTTAGCACTGATGTTAGACGTTACAGAAAAATACATTTTACTGGGAATACCTGTATAGAAATTGCTTTACTTCATTACTGGAGAGCGAAACAATTTAAAACTTAAAAATGGGTATTTTAAAGACCTTTTCTGTGCCCAGTTTTCTTGGAAAAAACACAGACAAGGTACAGAAAGCTAGATTAGTTTATTTGGGGTTACACTCTCTTAGTTTTCCCAGTTTAAAGACACTCATGTGATTGAGTTACATCAGCAAACCAGCATCTTAATTCTGAAAAGCAAATCAAGAAATTCAGCTATGACTCAAAAAGACATAGTTATTTTTTAAGCTTAGATTTCCAGGAAAAGAAATTTCATCTACTAACAGTACTAACAAACTAAAACTAATTATTGCAGGCATTTTCTATGTAGTAACAAGACAGCGAAAACAAATACAAACATACATTTTAATAAACGAAATACTGGTTTCAAGAGCCTAGGTTACATTGCTTATTTGCTCTAAATAAAACAAGCAGCTTCTCTGTGTCTATGGTTTTACTTATGGATGCACAATATTACACTCTATAAAATTCTTAGTTATGGTCATACTCATACGTTTTTACAAGAAGCATGTTTAAGATGCCATTAAGTATAAGAAAAGAGGTGCTTACCCACTGAATTTCTATGCCTTTTGATAGATTATCAAGTCTTTGAAAATCTTCTTTATTTATTACACTTCCTCCTGAACTTGTTCTCCAGCCATTTGTTTTCCAGTTGTCAACCCAGCTTGTAATACCTATGCAAAGGGAGCATTACCATAAAAATACTATTAAAGAAGCCAGCAAGGATCAAGATGGGGCAAACAGCCTTTTAACAAGACATTAACTCCATACAACGTCACAGGCAAAGACACTGGAGATAGAAGACGTTCTTGTTTGGTTCCCTACTACTGTCTTCCAGGATTGTTTATTATTTATTAAGCATTATTACTTAAATTACGCATGTTTTCCCAAACAGATATTTAATTTAAAGACTACAATCTTATATACGCATCACACGCAAAATTATGACATGAACTTCAATAAACTGAAGCTAAGGATTTGCTTGATGGTACAGTAAGCTAGAACAAATCTATGGCTCTATTTGTTTTGAGAAATTCCGAAGACATGCATAGAGGAAAAACAGATGACCACCTGTGTTATGGCTTCTGCAGGCTAAACAGAATCCTTCAGAGAAGGACCACGTAAGCCGATTTCTACAGAACAAGATTTAACATTCTGGCCACCCCTTGCTGGCAAGAAAATTTACTATATTACTCCTTAAATAAGCAAATTTTTTTTTTTTTTTTAAGAAAAAAATCTTTGCTGGTCTCAACAATGTAAGACATCCTTACTCCTTTCATGACAAACAGAGCTGAACCAAACAGAGAATCACCAATCTTGCACACACAGCCTCCTAAAAACCAAACCAAACCACATCGATTTGTACTTAACCACAAGCCTCCTTCTCTGGTATTTTAAAAAATAACTCCTAGACACATTTACAAAATAACTTTGATCAAACAAGAGTGGAGCCTGCACCTCAGTGACCAAAATGCAAGAGCAACTGCAAGCAAAAACAAAGAGAGTAAGACATCTCACCTAAAGAGCCTTTTCCTCCCTCACACTTAAGTCTCACATGTAACAGGAATTATCTGACACAGCAACTTTTCCTCTTTCGTAACACCAGATTCACAGACAAGATGGTATGGACTTTTCTGCCACAAAGCAAAGAATTGCAACATGTTTCTTTGCTCCTTAATGCTTCAAACAACTTGCTTCTTGCAGCAAATTATGCACTTGGATTCTGTTGATCCGCGTGCAACACCCAGTCCCACAGAGACTCTTCCTTTTACTCTTCCCTTTTTCAGAATGCTTCTAGCAGAGACTAAAAAAAAACCACCACCATCAAGAAAAAACAAACAAAAAACCACACACACACGTTCTGCTCCTACACGAAATGCTATACCTAAATCTTTTGGGGAAAATAAGCTACTCAAATGAGAGATTTACGAGATGATCCTTAGGGAGAAGCAACAGAAAATGCGTTTAAGTTGTTTCTTAACATTTACTGTCCCTTCCTCAACTTAAAAGCTAGACTCAGGAGGACAGAGCACAAGTCCTTGACACTTTTCACTTCTGGACAGAATGTCTTTCATGCACCTGCAAGCTAACAGAATTTGAAACAAACAGCAAGTGACAGCTCCAGCAACTCCCTCCTTGACTAGTAGTCACTTCTTCCTACTCGGTAGCTTTCTGTCCTTTCGAGGGTATTGCTACTCAAGATGACATCATAGTTTTTCAAGGTAGGTGTTGCTTCCCTTCTAAACATGAGCCACCTGAAAAAGTTAAAAACTGATGCTCTTCTTTCATACTCCTCCACTTTCAGAAATCGGGGGGGG